TGTGCAGGCTGATGGGCTGCTGCTTTTACCACCATTGTTCAGCAGCCCTCATCATTGCAGGCCTCCAACCACCCAGCCCTTTGCGAACCAGAACCAGGTGATGGATGGACTGAGGGACGCCCTCTACAAGGCCATCCAGGAGATACAATCCCTCAAAGATGAGAACAAGTCTCTGAGGGAGCAGGATGTCCTCCTGGATGGCCGCACCCAAGAGGTCCACCGCCTTGAAGAGGAGCTTCATCAAAAGGAGGAGCTCCTCAAGAGAGCGACAAAGAAACGAAGGGCTCGTACCAAAGCCCATGTTGACAACCTGCCCCTCCTGGCACAGATGGAGCAGGAGCTGAAGAGAAGGGAAGCTTCACGATCTGATCTGTTCTGATGTCAAGGACCAGAGAAAGAAGGTAAGCAAGCAAATAAACTTCTCATCCTCAAGAACAAGCAGCTTCAGGTTTGCCGCTTCAGCTGATGGTTTTACTTTACAGTAGCGGCATGTTGGATCATAACTGCTCCACAGTTCAGGAGAATATAACATATATGATCTTCCTTTCTCCAGAGCCTCTCTTTAAAGATGAACGAGCATGAGCAACTCGTGAACCAAAGAGAGACGGAGACGACTGACAAGGAAAGACCGAAAAAGAAAGAGCAGACAGACAAAGAAAAGGAAGAGAAAGAAAATGGCGAGATGGAGCAGGCCTTTACACCAGCTCCTGTCTGGAAAAAATGAATAGAAAAGAAAATTTTGTTATTCACGTATCCCAAAAAAAGGAAATACTTGCTGGTGGCAGATATTCTTGTCGGCCTTTTTTGTTTTTTTTTGCCTGTTTATTTACATAAAACAAATTCAGTGACATCACCTGAAGTCCTTAGAACTTGTAATGGCAATTTTCCATGATTTGACATCCATCCATTCATTATCTGTACACCACTTAATCCTCATGAGGGGGCCTGGGGTCTATCCCAGCTGACTTAGGGTGAAGGCAGGGGACACCCAGTCTATCACAGGGCTACACTTAGAGACAGACAACCAAGCACACTCACATTCACACCTATTCACATTCACCAATTAACCTCAACATGTTTTTGGACCTTGTGGGAGGAAGTCAGAGAACCTGGAGAGAACCCACGCTGCCCGGGGAGAACATGGAGACTCCACACAGAAAGATTCTGGTGCCCCCACCGACGTGAACCGGCGACCTTCTTGCTGCGAGGCAACAGTGCTACCAACTGCACCACCCTGCAGCTGATTTGACATTAAATGGAAAGAAATAATATAGTTGCAGAACAAAATAAATACACAAAAGATGGTTTTTCACAAGTTTTTTTTTATTAGCTCTTGTAGGAGGGATGTACAGTTAACAGCCAGGAAACAGATGTGCATTAACTAATTAGAATCCACACTCAAACGCTACACATGGATTTCTCTCTCCGCCTCTCCGGCGTCATGTCGGAGTGGGTTTACCGGACGAGGGGAGAGCATCGTTAAGAGCTGTGGGTGATAGTTTTGAGGGCACACAGCTGGAGTGAAGTAAAGGAGGAGTTGGCAACAGAAAAGGACGGACTCCACACAGTTGGATTTGCTGTGCTACTAGCAGCAGTTGCAGTACGTGAGGTTTTGTAAACAGTGAAAAGGCAATAAGGCAACTGGTTACGCTACGGAGAAGAAGTGACGAAAACCCCGGTCATGGCACAAATACGCTGATGTGGGTCTGGCAGGGACGTACATGCAGATGACACATTTTGTTAGGGACACACTGGAGTTTAATCCCACAAACAACAACAAAAAAGTAAACGGATGTCAACACCACCTTACGATGTGAGTGGAAGACTTCATCACTGACCCACGTTTTTAACTCTGTGCCATGCAAATACAACACAACGGCCTCAACACAACACCGGACGTTACAAAGCTGAAGGTAGAGGGAGCTGGTGAGAGTCAGAGGCACAGACACTGTAGGGATGCTACTCTGTGGTTCTCCAATGAGGTGTCATTTTAAAGCGTGACTGGCTGGAATGGAGAAGAAAAAAAAAGTGAGCCAGTTGCTGCATATTTTGCTTCAAAGTGGGTGGAGGCTTATTGCAGGTAGGAAAGGAGGTCGTGGCAAAAATTCAGAAACGGCTGCTAAATGCTTTATTCTTGAGCAAGTCATTGAGATGCTGAGATTTTCCACAGATTAGGAAGACTGCAGACTTTTAGTGAATCCATTTCCATCAGATGCACAAGAATACTTAGAAGGAACAGCTGGACATTGTGGGAAGTAGCTACACTTAGTCGCTTTCTTGTCAAGATTTGTGTGAGAGGATTTTCTATATGAAAAGAGCCAATTAGGACTTGAAATGGGGGAAGCACTGAGCAGAAACAGCACCCGAAGGTCACTTAATACCGAATTAGAGCTTAGCAAGTTACATTATAGACTAAAATTGCTGCTGTTGTTTTTAGACAACAAGCAAAAACTTAGATGAAGTGGCCAAGAAACAATCCCACACATGAAATACACAAATGTCATTTATATGCTTTGGATTTTGTGCAAATTCAATCAAACCAGGTGGAACAAGCTGTAGCTGTTTCCGTCTCATATCTTTATGCAAGTAAACATTGGGACCAATTCAAAATATTCCTGCCATTTGATATGTTTTGTTTCCTGTCTGCCTTAAATATTAAAATTTTGGCTCGAGTTGCAGATAACATTTAAATAGAGCGTCATCAGTTTGCAGCAAAGACAGTAAAAGCAATAAACAAGTCCGTGATCAAAGAAAATATCTGAACAAAAATGGTTTTAGCCTTTAGACTTCCATATCCAGTGCTGTGACTAGAGATAGAGTGAGTTTTACATTTAAATGAATTTTCTCATCCAATCCTCAGCAACAAAGTGAGACATCCCAGAATGTCCAACTTTCCCTTTAAGAGGAGAAAATGAATGGTGGAGTGCACAGGAATTTTTGTCAAACTTACACTCTCCACACGCCGATGGGGTGCAGAGAGTCACAGTGAGAAGGTGCACAGAGGCATTCATCCAGTCACCTGCTAGTCAGGCCCCTGTGATCGACTGAGCGGCGGTTTATTCCCCCCCCTCCTCGACCACGCGGAGCTTCCACTGGTGTCCGTCGTGCTCCCATCAGCCGCCCGCTACTTAAGGAAGGAGTCGAGTTTTCGCTCGATGTTGGCGAACGAGTCGTCGCCCAAGTAGTCGATCTGGCCCGCCTCCCAGCGCTGCTTCCTCTCCTCTGACGACACCTTCTGAGGAGGAGGGAACGACGGAGCCGGATGCTCTCTGACGTCCTCGTGAAGCTTTTCCTGCGCGACAGAGAGGAGAGGATGAATGAATGAATGGTGGAATGAAACCACAGCGATACTTTATAAGGACTGGCTTCCTCTGGCTCGGCTCGGCTTTCCCTCGCCTGGAGCCGATTCCAGGGGAATTTGCTCTTTTCTACCCATGAGACATTCAGCACATGGAGGCATTTCATCATAACAGTCAAGATAAGAGCTGGGAATGTTTAAAGTAACAGAAACGCTTCATACAGCAGATCTGCCCCTCAGTAAGTCAGTCACCAAGAGAGCAAGTGAGCTAGAGAAAAAAAAGAGATAAAATATATTTTTCACTTTAAAAGTTTAGCTGCTGGAAACAAGTTGTCCTAATTCACTGCAAGATCCATTCTTAGAGTGTGTGTGCATCTACGTCACACTTGTACGGTGTTAAACCATCAGGGGAATTCTACTGAACTATTTCTGATCTGCTTGAAACAATTCCTAAAGTATAGCTACTCAAAATGGTTTCTCAGAATTGTCAGATTGATATCAAATATTTGAGGGTTTTTTTTCCCCATTTTAAAAGCACCTGTTGATCCACTTTTTCGCACATTAATATTTGGGTCCATGTTTGAACAACAGCATCTCCTTTTACAGATAAAAGCCTGACATCGTCACTGTTACTTCTTATCATGCTGTTAATTCATCTGCTATGTTGGATGAGTAGATTAAATAATCCCTGAATGGGGCGCCCGGATGGCTCGTCGGGTAGGGCGGGCGACCCATGTATAGGGGCTTGAATCCCCGACGCAGCGGCCGTGGTTCGATTCCAGCCAGCGTGTCATTCCCCCACTCTCCTCCCCACATTTCTCGGTCTATCTTCACTGTCACTATCATTAAAGGCGAAAAGCCCAAAAAATATCAAATAATAATAATCTCTGAATATGAGTGAGTTGAACTGTGAGGAAAAAAAACTGAAGCCGTCATGAAAAATCCCATATCTGAGTGCACGGAAAGAAGAAAAACTGATAATGCAGACGTATATTAGTGATGTTTTCTGAACGATATGTAGTTGCATGTCACAATAATAGAAAACAAGTGTAGAAGCTTAAATGGATTAACTAGAAACCTCACACTAGGATTCTCTTTCTTGTTGCTACCATATCTCATAGCATAAGCCTTTGCGACCGTGTAACTGCTGAAAACCATCAGCAATCTAGGGGCATTATATTTAGAGAGCCATCCATACATCCATCCATCTTCTCCCGCTTATCCGGGGTCGGGTCGCAGAGGCAGCAGCCTTAGCAAAGCCGCCCAGACTTCCCGATCCGCACACACCTCCCCAAGCTCTTCCAGGGGGACCCCTAGGCATTCCCAGGCCAGCTGGGAGACATAGACATAGTCCCTTCAGCGTGTCCTGGGTCTTCCCCGAGGTATTATATTTTAGCCATCTCTCTAAATATTTGGCCACTGAAAAACCCATATCAGTCAACCACTAGAACTATAATCAGCTGTGATGCCACAACATCACTCTTGTACTTCAGAGGAAACTCTCCAAACGCAGCAAATGAATGTGTGAACTCCTTTCTCGTATCAAACCCCCATAATTGTGCACAGTGAAGGTCAAAGTAGGAATAAGCTTGTAAAGCTCAGCTATGTAAACATTAAACCTTCATCTTGCTTTTGGAAACACACTCGAGTTATAAATAGACACAGCAGCTTTGTTTGGATCATTTTTGCTGGGTAAGGCAACGGTTGAGTAAGTTTCCATTCACTCCTATTTATCCTGAAATGTTCTGGCCTGGGAAGCAGACAAAGCTGAGGAAAGGTTTGATTTGCTCTGGCAAAACAGTTCCCTTCCCATTCAAACAGATTTCCACCCAGAACTGCAGGACTAATGATCACCATTGATCTAATAAGAGCTGGATTTGGAATGATGGCTGTAAAGAGGGACTGGTCAGGATTTAAAGAACTGGACAGTATATTTTTTACTAAAAGACGAGCAAACAGCCACATCTAAAGCTCCAGTGTGTTGAATTTAGGAGGATCTATGGGCAGAAATGGAATATAATATTCACAAGTGTGTTTTAATTAGTGCATAAATCACCTGTAAATAAGAAACATAGTGCACCAGGCTGCACTACCATCTGTCTACAGTAGATCAAAATGGACAAACCAGACCCCGGCTCTGCAAAGGGTCTTTTACATTTTGTATATTATGAAACGTCCACTGTAGGTTCTCTAAACATGGCTTAAATGAGAGGGTGAAGCTAAGGGTGTTCAATTAGGTTACAATCTGCAACCTCGCTGCCAGATGACACTAAATCCTACACCAGGGGCGTCGAATCCTGGTCCTCGAGGGCCGCAATCCTGCATGTTTCAGATGTTTCCTTCTTCCAACACACCTGATTCAAATGATCAGGATCGTTATCAGGCTTCTGCAGAGCTTGATGATGAGCTGATCATTTGAATCAGGTGTGTTGGAAGAGGGAAGCATCTAAAACATGCAGGATTGCAGCCCTCGAGGACCAGAGTTCGACACCCCTGTCCTACACACTGCACCTTTGAAGCTTGATTATATTTTTCCGGTGCTTAGCATTCACATCTGACTTGGTTGTGGCTCTATCCACCTAAATCCAGAGGCATTCTGGTCTGCAGCCTGTGACAGTTAACCAAGAGGTTCAGGACTAATTTGCATTTGTCTGACAATACCAGGATAGTGATTTCCAGTCTTGGAGACCATGGCCACAGTTCAACAAACACTGCCACCTAATAAAAAGTAGATCTGAGTCTAAATCTAATTTCTTGAAGAAAAAAAAAAGACATTAAGCCAGTGGAAAATTCCCTTTGCAAGTATAAACTTGTCAGTGTGACACAACATGGCACAGCACCACACTATGGGGCACAGCTGCCAGTTCTGGCAGCCATCCTTTCTGTGACTAATTCAGAAGTATTTCGTTACAGCGTCGTTACAACAGACTGCGTGGCAACTTCCTGCTGAACAGTTGAAGGCCCTGCATGGCTCACTGATTACAGTAAGTTATTCATGCAGTGATGACACTGCTGAGAGGATGGCAAAACAAGCAGCAACAAAAACGATCTGGCAACAGACTGGTGCTGAGGAATGTGGAACCAACGAGCATTTCCTTATTAGTGTCACTAAAACTTCCCAGTAGTGTAATGTTCTGCATCTTAAAACCTGCCAGTGGCTTTAAAATGCATCTTATCTTAAACAATAATACTATAAAAAAATGCAGAAGAGCCTGAAAACTGTAATAAGAGAAGGAATCACTGGATTTTGAACTTTGGCGTGCTTGTGATGAAACCTTCAGGAAGGCTGTGAACGTGTGTGATTTTGTGTGTTTGTCTGTTGCAGCATGTTGCATTCTGACTGTGTCGAAACCTTTTAATTGCTGGGAAGCTCTCCTTTCATGATTCCATCACAGCGTGCAATTACCAAATATCAAAAGTGAACTCCAAGCAGTTTTGGGCGTTCTTTTTTTAAATCATGTGTTGCACCTTGTGTCGGGAATACTAAACTAAAATCATGATATTTCACCAAAGTGACTTTAATCTAATTTTTTCAACCTAAAACTTCACATAAAAACAATGGCAGTAAACTAAAAACTCTTCCTACCAACTTAGAAGCCATGACTGACTTTTTTCGGTTGAACTGCAGACCGGTTTCCACATAGCAGTTAGACAAGTGTGAAAACAAATAATTAAACATTTAGTTTAAGTCGACGGTTCGTGTCCCGGTGGGGGCACCGGGATCTTTCTGCGTGGAGTCTCCATGTTCTCCCCGTGCAGCGTGGGTTCTCTCCGGGTTCTCCGGCTTCCTCCCACACAGTCCAAAAACATGTTGAGGTTAATTGGTGATTCTAAATTGTCTGTAGGTGTGAATGTGAGTGTGCTTGGTTGTCTGTCTCTAAGTGTAGCCCTGTGATAGACTGGTGACCTGTCCAGGGTGTCCCCTGCCTTCACCCTAAGTCAGCTGGGATAGACTCCAGCCCCCCATGACCCTAGTGAGGAATAAGCGGTGTATAGATGATGGATGGATGGATTTAGTTTAAGTCGTAATATAGCAAGTAGAGCAACTTTTGTCAAGTATTGGTAAAACCTGTGTGTACTTGGAAAAATGTTGGACATGTTGATTTGAATTCTTCTAAAATATAAAAATCAAAGAAAGTCATCTGTAGTTTTTTTCTTTTGAGTAATTTCTGCCAAAGCTTTGGTATCCTGAAAAAAAATGCCATTTTTGAGTTATCTCGACCATCTCCCCACTTGTAGTCATGGTTGTGCCGTTTCCATACAAGTGCAAAACCATATATTGCAGTAAGGTTGAGCCAACAGGAAATGTGCCAGGAGCAAAGAAAATCATCCAGAAACTGCTCGGTGTTTAGAGGGTTAAGAACAAATTCACCTTCTCAACATGTGACACTTTCGATGTTTGTTCATTGCCTGTCGTGGTGGAGTTACATTCTTAAAACGTGTGTTTGAGAAAGGAGAGTTTCCCAGCAATTAAAAGGTTTCGACACAGCCAGGATGTGACGATTATGCAACTTGCTGCAACGGATAAACACACCAGATCACCCACGTCCACAGCAGTCGTCATTAAAGGTGTCATCACCAGCATACCAACCACAGCCACGCCTTGGACCGAACCCTCCTTTTTAGCCACAAAAAGTCAACATCACAAGCCATCACGTACATCACTGCCCGCCTCGACGAAGCCGCTGTTGAAGGGAGTGTCTCCGAAGGCCTTCTGCAGTAGAGGCAGCACAGATTTGGCGTACAGCTGCCACCACATGAGCAGGTAGTCGGGGTGCAGTTGGGTCTGGTCCGGTGACTGAGAGTGACCCTTGACCTCCCCTCGCTGAGCGTCGTAGGAGTAGTTCCACGGCTTCACTTTGCCCAAGAAGTGCACCACCTTTGCGTCGTGGCCGTACCTGTGCAAACCAGACAAGCAGAGACGGGGCGATAAATGAACGTGAGAAAAAGATGACAAATAGGGGAAGGCATGTAAACCCATCTCTAAAAGCAATTAATCATCCCAACACATTGTAATTAAACTTCTTGCTGAGACTCTTTTCACTGAGTTTGCAACATACAAGCCACAAACTGCAGCATGAGATTATTTCCTCCCACGTTCATTAATTGGAGTTTTGTCTAATCAGTACTTTTCCCTCTAAACATGAGTATCTAAAGCCCCTGTCAGATATGCACTTTGTTCTGTTCATCAGACAGCAACTTAAATGCGTCAGCTTTGCGTCTGAATGCGCTGGTCTGGTCACTTCGTAGAAGTCGTGCCGATATTGTCTGACCTAG